ACACACACACACACACACACACACACACACACACACACACACACACACACACACACACACACGCACACACATACACACACGCGCGCGCGCGCACGTCTTCTTTTCCCAACGCTGGCCTTCTTTTCTCAATCTCCGCGCTCCCCTCGCTCCTTCCCAGCCTTCTCCGTCCTGTCTACGAGGACATAAAATAAAGTTTAATCACCCAAACTGTTGATTCATTTGCTCTTCTCTGTCCACAAAAAATGGACGTGTAAGTTCCCGTCGTTACAAGTCTAAAGAAATCCGAGATAAAAAGGTCTTGTTTTTTGCTTCTCCGTTCCGTCGAAAATGTCATTGGGTTATGTATTTTGTGAGGAGAAATAATATCTTGTTGATCAAGACAGAGTGAATATGACGCGGTTCATGGACGGCTGATTTCTCGAGAGGGAAACTTTAAAGAAGAGAAAAGGATCGCAACAGAAAAGAAGACAATGTTGTTAACAGAAAAGAAGAAAAGGCGGGGGAAGGGTCTAATTCAAATGTTCTGCGTCGTCAATGCTAGGGCGTGTATCTGGATTTCATCATTACGAGGGGGAATAGTAATTCTTTTGATTCTGATGTGTTTCGATTCAGCTAATTCTCTTTATTCTGATGTGTTCATATTCAACTAATTCTTTTTATTCTGATGTGTTCACATTCAACTAATTCTCTTTATTCTGATGTGTTCATGTTCAACTTGCTTTGAAACTTTCAGCCAGGCGTTTATCAACACATTAGGTAGTGAAAGCGCCACTTACTGAATGAAAGCCTTGCATTTTTGTCTCAGAGAACAGGTTTACAATTATGTCACATTCCTTCCCGTTTAAGTGCACTGATATATTTTTATAAAGTGAGTCACGATTGACGTTAACGCCGCATTTCTGGATATTGACGAGTGTCCAGGACAAGTGAAAATCATGGTTCCTCTACTTGTGAGCTAACACCTCTGTACATGTCGAATTGTTGCCGTCGTCGTCAACGATAATATGTAAATGTTAAATGTGAGGCATCATGGTGAGATCAAGCGCTTTAAAAAAATAATAATATCGAAGAAAACGGCATTTTGCTTACCTTTTGTCAATTTTTGTCAATTTCTTTTTTTTGGGGGTTCGCTCTTTCAGGTCTCTTTAAAAGCACATCACAGTGTGGAATTTATTGAAAAAACGTTGATTAAAGGCATCCCCCCCCCCTAAAAAAATGTAAATTTGCAGTTTCCAAGGACTCTAAAGCTTTGGAAGTCACCACACTTTAGCGGCCATTTTATCGTTTATTTTACCCCTGAAATCAGTGGATCCTCTTTCAGTCCGAAATACAGGGTGACTCAAAAGAAAAGTAAACAATTTTTTGGGGGTAAATATTTTCCTCCCCACCGAAGTTTTGTGTTGCAAATTTGTACACAACATTTTGGAGTCTAAAGGTATTTGTCTGATATTCACATTAGATAAATCCACAGAATAGTTTTTCTCTAAAGTGCGTTAAGAAAACCAACCCATTTTCAGCTATGTCCCTTTTTTTGTAGCACAACGCACTAGTTTGCATTAGGCCAACCACTAAAAGTCCCAACTATTTTGCCATAAAATTGCAAGCTACAGTAGTCTAACGGGCCAATAGAAGTTTACCAATGGTTTTTCTCAAGTTTTCTTAGCCTGCTGAAATCATGGTGAAGATTAGTAAAGAGCAGAGGGCTTTTTGTATTGAAATTTTTCTCACCATCAACTCTTTTCGTAAGTTTCGCGCAGGGTGCGGAAAAAATATTAAGTGTCCTTATAGCCTCTTTTGATGTCAAGGGTGAACATGGTCCATCTTTAAGGACCTGTAGAGAATCAGAACTAAAACTTCTCTGACAAAATGACCACTTCAGATCAAATACACACCGTTTGCACCCATTTAAACGTCACCTGGGTGCAGCATTCAGTAGATGGGCCCCATGGAACCTCAGTAGACAATGTCCGCAGCTTGGACTTCCCTATATCTCAATGGTCTGCTTTCTCAAGGTAAATCTTCATCTACGACTTTACCATTTTCCTGTTCGCGAAGCTGACAGGGATCAGAGGATAGCAATGTGTTCATGATTCTTCTATCGTACTGAAAAACGTGAACATTTTCTTTATAACGTTTGGTTCCTTAGCAAACCCAATTATTCACCTTTCAGGATAATTATTTTAACTCCACAAATGCTGTCTATTTGGGCAACTTTACTCAACCCTCTACTGTCTCTTGAAACAACTTCATTCTATAAGGTGAACAGTGTGTGTGTGTGTGTGTGTGTGTGTGTGTGTGTGTGTGTGTGTGTGTGTGTTTGGCTTTGAGTACTTATGGTTGGGTATATCATTGTGTTTGGCCACCATTGACCATTACGAACGACGTGTTAAAATGTGTCGAGTCCAAAGAAGGACAGCACTGGTTCTCGGAATTCCAGAATTTTACCAACATTAAAAAAAATCTGTTTAAGAGAAAGGGAATATTGTTTAAATGTTACAGGAATAGAAAGATCCGATTTTAAAAAGAAATGTAAGAAAAAAAAATCAATGTTATTATTTCCTGACTCTCCTTGCAAGATCTTTTAAATTGGATCCTTTTGTGTTTATAGATGGTTTTTATAAAAGCCATTTCTGTTTTCGAAAACATGTTTTTTCTTTATGAAATTATGTCAAACAAAAATTCCTTTAGGATGAATTATATGGGCTCCAAAATATAACATTCTAGTACTAATTTTGAGAGAGATTTTAAAAAAGTTGTTTATCTTTTTTGTGATCACCCTGTACCTCGATTTCTATTGAACGTAGATGGGTAAGTTTTTCATCGAAAGCAAGACAACTGAACAAGATTTAAGAAATTACCAAGAACCCCATATGCCCAAAAATTTACGGACGCCTGATTTACCGTATTGCGACACAAAATAAATATGGAACATCTTTCTATTTATTGACGGACGCTGAGATTTGATTTGCTCCTTGCTTTTGTATATATACACAATAGCATCCGTATCTCTCTTTTTAAATTTCCATTTTACTCTCAGTCTAATAATAGCTGTACTTTTCATCACTTAGTTGACTTAATTGTGTTACAAGTGCTGTAAAACTCTTTCTAAAGCCAAAATATCTGTCCCCCCCCCCTCCTCAGACGAACAGTCCCGCTGTTCACGGAAGCCTTTACCTTTCACCCTTCTCGCTTTTTTCCACATTATCTAGTTGAGGACAGCGCCAGATCGCGTCTATTTCCTTAACCACTTTCTTTCCGTTATTACGGCTTTGTCTGCAATGTCTTCTCTGTTTTGAAGCAGTTGCTCTCTCTCTCTCTCTCTCTCTCTCTCTCTCTCTCTCTCTCTCTCTCTCTCTTCCTCCCTCCCGCCATCACTCCCCCCTCCCTCCCTCACTGGGTGGTCAACTCTCACAGGTCTCTGATAACAGTCGCAGACGACACAAGAACCACACACGACAGACCATCAAGAAAATGTCCGGCTCTCAGAAAAAAAAGCAAGTGTCTCATGTTTCAGGTTTCTCAGAAAATAAAACTGTTCTTTGTATTTAGTGTGAGACGCGACACGAGGTCATTTTCTTCTTCTCTATCCCTCACTCCCTCCCTCACTCCTTGCCTCCCTCCTTCCCCCCTCCATCCCTCACTCCCTCCTTCCTTCCCTCCCTCCCTCACTCCCTCCCTCACTCCGACCCTCTATCCCTCACTCCCTCCCTCCCTTTCCAACTCTCTATATTATCTCTTTCTCTCTTTTTCTATCTCTTCATCGCTGTGTGTGTGTCTCT